AATGCAAACTTCAGCACCACCTTCACTCACTCCAGCAGATAACCTTCAGGAGAACTGAGCTTTGTCCAAGGTCTTCCGTTGGTGCTTTGTGCAGCACGACCGTGTTCTTGTTGGTAAAATGTGCTTAACCTTGTCAAGAGCTTTCTGATTGTCCTTCTTTCAGCTAAGATAGAGTTAATTTTCTTCCTGGTAGCTGGTGTAGTGCTGTGGTTTGGATTTGGGCTGAAAACAATGGTGGTAACACACTGGTGTTTCTAGCTGTGGCAAAGCAGTCGAAGACTTTTCATCTTCTCATGCTGGCCTGCCAGTGAGGAGGCAGGGGGTGCATGGGAGAAACTGGGAGGGGACATGGCCGGGACCACTGACCCAAACTGGCCAAAGGGATACCCCATACTATATGGCATCATGCTCAGTTTATACACTGGGGGAGTTGGCCAGAGGGTGCCACGGCTCGGGAACTAACTGGATATCAGTCAGCAGGTTAGGAATTGTGCCATGTGTCACTTGTTTAGGATTTCTTTTAACATTATTATCATTATTAGTCTTCTCTTCCTTTTCTGTCTTATTAAACTGTCTTTATCTCAACCCACGAGTTTTACTTTTTTTCCCGGATTCTCTCCCCCATCCCACTGGGGCGGGGTGGTGACGTGTGAGCGAATGGCTGGGCGGTTGGTTTAGCTGCCTGCAGGCTTAAACCATGACACTGATTTAAAAAAAAAATAATCGTCACGATTCTGCGTTATTTTCAGTACCACAGTATGAGTGCAGTGGAAGCTGAGAATTTGTACGAAAACCATTTGAATTAAAATTTTACAGACCGTTTCTGACTGGAGTAGTGTTGTCTGTGTAGTGTTAGCTTATCTTTTCGTTTCGCAGTCCTTAACTCTCTCTCTTGTTAAAGCCACAGGCACGTGTAACTGTGGCAGTTGGGAAGACCGTGCTGGTAGAAGTTACTGCCTTACCGCAGGGCTGTGCGATGGGTGGTGGTGAAGCAGTTCAGCGAAGGATCGGAAGGGTTGGCTTTTTGATCTGATACAGATGCTTTTCAATAGCCTTACTCAAGAACTGATGGCTTGTTGCCAAAGCAGTTGAGTATTAAAATTAAAATGTATTTAGTGTTTTGATTGCATTTTTTTCTTTTGGAATATAAGGCAGCGATACAACATAAGAACAGGCTGTGACATAGTACCCAAACTAGTCAGTCAATAAACTTTATTAATTCATGTGAAATCATGAAGAAGTTGTCTATAATAAGAATTAGATACTTTGCCTAATTTTGCTAATACATTTGCACTATACCAGAGTGTCTTCCTTTAGTCAATTTTTATGTGATAATTACCAAGCAGCTTCTTAATAATTTATCATTTTTGGTGTATAAACTGCAAAATCACATTTTGCTTTTGAGCATCTCAAGAATATTAATGCAATAATAGCTCAGTTATTGTGGAAAAAAGTCACTAAATGCAGCTTCTCTTCTTCGATTGATCACAACAGGGGTCTGGAGCATAAAGTGTTGGGAAAAATCTCCTGTGGTAGTTGAGCAAGCCCTGACGTTGTTAGGCTCAGTTGTCTGCAGGAGGGCTGGAGATGGTTCAGGAGAGGGGACAGAAGCAGGTGACAGCAGAGTGTGCAGGGTACAGCCGAAGGGATGCGTCCCTGGGTTCTTTTCCAGCCCCTCTTGTCCCACTGTTCTCTGAAACATGCGTCCTTTCAGTGATTCAAACAAGTTTTTCTCATATTAAAAGTTTCAAGTTCTTTGAAAGGAACAAAGGAGCCAGATTTACTTCTCTTGATGTCTTTTTTTAATTGCCATTCAGAGATTTTTTTTTAACTCTTACAAGTTTCTTGTTTCTGAATCTTGTTGCTTAATGGCTGCGATTAATTCGTGGTCTTCAAAACTTAGTCCTTAGTACTAGGTCTGGCTTAGTCCTTCGTGCTAGGACTGACTTAGTCTTTTGTCCTTTTCTAGCCAGAAGAGGGGTGTCGAGAGAATGTGTATTAGATACAGTTGTATAAATCATAATAAGGAGACATCAGTCAAGGAGGAAAATGCAAACTTCAGCACCACCTTCACTCACTCCAGCAGATAACCTTCAGGAGAACTGAGCTTTGTCCAAGGTCTTCCGTTGGTGCTTTGTGCAGCACGACCGTGTTCTTGTTGGTAAAATGTGCTTAACCTTGTCAAGAGCTTTCTGATTGTCCTTCTTTCAGCTAAGATAGAGTTAATTTTCTTCCTGGTAGCTGGTGTAGTGCTGTGGTTTGGATTTGGGCTGAAAACAATGGTGGTAACACACTGGTGTTTCTAGCTGTGGCAAAGCAGTCGAAGACTTTTCATCTTCTCATGCTGGCCTGCCAGTGAGGAGGCAGGGGGTGCATGGGAGAAACTGGGAGGGGACATGGCCGGGACCACTGACCCAAACTGGCCAAAGGGATACCCCATACTATATGGCATCATGCTCAGTTTATACACTGGGGGAGTTGGCCAGAGGGTGCCACGGCTCGGGAACTAACTGGATATCAGTCAGCAGGTTAGGAATTGTGCCATGTGTCACTTGTTTAGGATTTCTTTTAACATTATTATCATTATTAGTCTTCTCTTCCTTTTCTGTCTTATTAAACTGTCTTTATCTCAACCCACGAGTTTTACTTTTTTTCCCGGATTCTCTCCCCCATCCCACTGGGGCGGGGTGGTGACGTGTGAGCGAATGGCTGGGCGGTTGGTTTAGCTGCCTGCAGGCTTAAACCATGACACTGATTTAAAAAAAAAATAATCGTCAGCCAAGTATTTTGGGTTTTTTTAAAGATAAATCCCATTCCTACCAGCTCAGAAACTAAGAAACTGCAGTGATTTAGCTAAACCTTTCCCTCACAGCAGCTTTCCAAAAACTATGCAGTGCAAGTAACCCCCTGAAACTTATCAGGTTTGCTGAATCCCTTAACTTTTCCTCAGCTTTCACTTTGAAATCACAGAAGTGACAGAAGTATCAAACTTCTGTGATTTGCCTGGCAAGAGGGAAGTTTCCTGTTCAATTACAAGAAAGTGCAAGGTAGCTACTGCCAAAATTAATGACTTCAAAATCACAGGTAGATAAGTTATGGAAGAGCCTAGACCTGAATTGTCAGGCTTGGAAACGAAGAAATGTAACTATAGGGTGCTCTGGCTCTTGTTAAATAAGCGTCATATCAATGAGAGTCTTACCTGTTCAAAAAAGATAAAGGTAGGCAATTTTAATAGCAAATTTCATCTGGGCATTTGACACCTTGCTTAAAATGCTGTGTTTGATTGAATTAACAGGAAATGCATTAGCTGGATTGAAGATTCTTTCACTGAGAGATTGCAAACTGTGTCAGCCTTGAAATGCATCAGCGAGTGGGGTTGTACGTAGTTTCCCAAGGAACAGTTGTTTGTGTAAAGGTAGATGTTGCCTTCTTTAATAGGCTGGACTCTGTATCATAGAGTTTTTGCAGGTAAAATTTAAAATCCAGGAGACTGCCTGTCAGTGTGCTGGAATCATCCAAGTGTGGGGGGATGCTGCTGAGTTCCAGGCAAGATGCAGGAGCAGGGAATTACGTTTATGCATAACCACCAGGAGGTTATAATAAAATCTAGAAAAGCTTTAAGGTTCCTATAGATGTGTGCGTGTGTACATACATATGCATATGGATGTATATAGAACGCTCAGTGCAAAATTGGAGTTGCCTTATGTAGAAACTTACGCACAGAAAAGGGAGATGTTAGGAATTCTTTAATTTTGCATCCAAAGCCATAAGAACAATTGGAAACCAGATGCTGAATCAGAACAATTCTGTCTTGAATGTGCTGCAGTGTAGGCCATTGCACATCCAAAACCTGCTGTGAGATAATGGAATCACTGTGACACAGAGCTGAAAAATTATATTGAAGCTTTCAGAAGATCTGTTATAACCTAGATACTGTAGAATCTGTGGTCTGTTTTCACAGGCGGTGGGATAGCAGGATCATACTTTTTCCATCCTGAGCGTTCTGTGATGCTGAGTACCTGTTGCATGTTCTCATTGATTCTTGAGTGTGTACATACTTAATGTGTAAAAATTAATTTTCTCAAAAATATCAAGTGACTTTGTGAAAAGTACACCATTCTAACTAAAGCGCCAACCCAAAGCATCAGCTTCAACCTCAGTAAGTCTGATCACTTCTCATTACCAAGGCCGCATGACTGCTCTCCGGGATCATCTTGGCATTGCCTGGACTTTTCCTGCTGTGACAGGGAGCAAGGACATGAGTTCTCCGAAGCCCTGGCTGAGGCGTGCTATAGTTATATAGACCTCAATGCTACGGAGGGGTTTTTGGATGGTTAGAGCATTGTGAAACGCTGCTCTCGTGGTATGGGAAGCACATATCCCGTGGATTTGTCTGAGTAGATGTGTGTTTCGCGGTTTCCCATTGCTAGGAGGACTAGCAAGTGATGACCTAAGCCATGTCACCAGGGTTATGTGGTAGTTAGTGTCTGTCAAAAGCTAGCCATTTATTTTTATTGAAACAGTGCCAGAATATGCAGTCTAGAGATCAAAACCTACCACTTCTTCCTGTGTCTGTCCTGTTTAACCTGTGGAAAGCATCGATCCTTTAATGTACATCAGGTGAATGACTCCAGGTGCTTGTGTGTGAAGCTGAGCTCTGCCAGCTGAGCGTTTCTTATTTGGTTGGTGGGAGTTTAGCTGCAGGGTTTAGTTCATCTGTATGGATTGAGTGCAAGAGCTGTCACCTTTGCTTAACGAGTGATGATCTGGGTTTTCCAGCTGGTACAGTTGCTTAATGCAGGAGCTCAAACACCTTCAGCTGGGTCCCTCGCCACAGGCTCAGAAGTCTCTTTCCATTCCCTGGACACCAATAAGAGAAAAGAAATACGTTTCTGATAAAAGAAATATGGCAAAATTTCAATCAATTTGGTGCAAAATAGTGTTCTTAAGTGGAACTTGAAGTGAATATTGAAAATATGTTTTGGCTTTTTTCTCTGCAGAGTTTACAGATGCTTCCTCAACAACGGAAAGCCATAGCAAAATTTAAGGAGCCAGCACATGCTTTAGCATTTCAGCAGAAATTCCACAGGTAAATAATTAAGCACTGCTGCCACCTCGGTTCCTTCCCTCCCTTCAAAAGATTAAATCCGTCTCCTCTGCTCAGTGTTTCTCTTAATCCAATCAAGCATCTGTTTATTAGTGACCTTCGTAGAACCTCCTTGTCTGTTCTCCACTTCTAGAGTCGTTTAAATTTCTTTTAACAGGCACATGATAGATCTGTCCCACATAAACGTGGCGCTGATAGTTGAGTGATGTCTGCTGAGAGAATCCCTGACACTAACAGAAGCACACTGTGGAGCTGCGTGAGGCACAGTGGCAAAACCATCGGGTTGTGAAACCTTTCAGCTTAGTCTTTAATTGCTGTGTTGAACTACAGAAAGCAGCAAGATGTCCTCCTTCAGAAGAGCTGAACTTGAGAGGATCCGCACAGGTGGAATTTCTGTTCGGTTTGTTCGCGTTCTGTTGTAACCACATGGAACTACGGATTTTTTTTTTCAAGATGCTTTCAATGCATGTAGACAGTGTTCTTCAAGATACTACTGTGTGACCACAGTGACTTGAGAGAGAACGTTTACATCGAAAGATTGAAAAACTTTCTTCATAGCAAAGAATATTTGATAATGGTTGCTCTTATCTTCAGTGTGAGGTATTTGAATGAAAACTCACTTTTCTAAACAAAACACATTAGTTATGGTGTATGTCTGAGAGCACAGAAGGTATTCTTGCATAGATTTAAACGTGGTCTACTTCACTGAGTAGCAGTACACTGAGAAGCTTTGGAGGTGACGCTGGAAAAAATGTAGTTTCGAACTTTGTAAATATGTTGAGTCTGTCTTTGCATTTTCTGTTTCAACACAGACTTCCATCTTCTCCTTCCAACTCCACTTATTCCATAAAACCCTGTGCAGGAATAACATTGCTGTATTTACCCTTGGTTTTTAAACACAGGATCTTTGCCCTTCAGTAGCATCGTGGGTAGCGAACTCCAAGTTGTAACTAGGTTGTTTTAAATGACGTTGCCAGGTATAAGGAAAAATAAATATTTAGTGGCTCACTTCAAAAATGTTACACTGGAAGAGTGGCGCATTCCTAATAGTTCTTTTGGGTTAGCTTTTCATTATTGCCTTATGCTTTATTTTGATTAGTTTTTTTTTCTTTGAGATTTATTTTGTGACTAATGCTGAACCATAAGAAACCCATAACTGAAAGGACGTGGTTTGATGCGTTGTTCCCGATCAATACAGGACTGTAAGGACATTGTGAATCTGCTGGTGAACATGGCAGTTCCCAAAAATTATGTGCAAGCATTCAGGAGTTTCTATTTTATTCAAAGTAAAATCCATAATACTTCCTTTTGGTTAGAACCATCTAGATGGTGTTGCCAAAGGAACAATTTTTTTCAGTTACTTCTGAATAAACTTATTAAAATGTCATCTTTATATTGGATTCCAGTTTTTATGAACATTTCCTTAGTTTTTAAACTGTGAGCTTTTGCTTCATCCTTTGTTTCAGGAGTCCCCTTAAGCACTCCACCTACAATTCAAGTGGGGGGACTTACAGAAAGCTTATAGGTTTGTTACCTGAGTGACCGCAGAACACTGTTGGTATGTAATGAAACAGCTGCAGATGGGGTCCAAAATAAACAAGCCAAGCATGGAAGGATGAACTAAGCAAGTATATAGTAACATAGTTTTGGTTGAGGTTTGGTTTTGGGTTTTTTTTTGAAGATTTAGTGGTAACCAAGTCACAAAGACCTAATTGGCTTTCTTACAATTTTGGTCCAGATTTTCAATTAGGTAGAAGTTACTAAAAACAATAATTGAAAATAAATACTGTCATGAATCTTCTAGGTAAAACTGCTCTATGTTCATTGAAAAAATACAGAATAATGTGGTACTTCGGAAATAACTGCACTGGGAAAAAAAATTGAGTGATTAAGCCCGTTTACAGCGTAGTGATGAGATGCAGTAACATCATGATAAGTGAGTTACACCTGTCTGTATAGTTCCCCATTTATGCATGATACCTGGTAACATTTAGCACAGTTCCTGTTCACAAAGTGCTGTTAGTGCTTCAGGGCAGACCCGAGCCACAGGTAGGAAGTGCCCCCTGGGAGCCGACCCGAAGACTCCTGCGAGGTGGTCTGCCCCGTGCTGTCTAACTCCTCGCACTGGGAGCACTAGGACCGCTACGCTGCCTCCTCAGGTTACATAATTCGTATTTTTAAGGAATAAATGCTTATCTTTAAAGCGAGTCATTAAACAGTTATTCATGCTACTGTTAGGGAGCTGCTTCTCTGTAATGAGAAGGTGGGGAAGACGTCTCGGGGCGGGGCGATGATAGTGCGTGTCTGGAAATCTGGGTTTTATGCAGACGCCAGACAGGCCAGCAGCTGAGTTCAGCAGTAGGAACATCTGCAGTTGATCAGCTGTCCTGTCAGAAGCTAACGTTATTGGGGTTAGAGGGTTTCTTGGAGCCGAAGAATATGGGTTTGATTCAAAAGTCAAAGAAGTTTGTAGAAGTGCTCCTGCTTTGGATTTTGAATCCATCCCAAAGAGGCTGAGGTTCAGCCAACTTAAGTTTTAATAATTTTTATTCAGTTGGGCTTTTTAAAAATTTTTTTTTTTGAGGTAAATGTGTGACTCTGCAATAAAGACATGAAATCGCCTCAGATCTGTTTAAACGTAGGAGGCAACATAGGCAATGCCTGTTTAATGACTAGATGCATCCTCTTTAAAGGCGGTTGCAGTAGGTTATTGCTTGTGCATAGAGAGAGTGTGGGCAGATTGCTGGTGGTGATTTTAGCTGCTTATTGCAGTACCTGGGTATCGTACTATATGTAAACGTACTGTATGTATGTATGTCTATATGCATTTTTATTATACACATACATACATAGTCCCACCCTGTATTGTCACCATATCTCTCTAATCTTAAAAAACTCAGTAGCAAAAGTAGCAATTAGGTGAGTCGTTTGTTAAAGTGTTTGTGTTTTGTTAGTTCTCAAATCCTGGCTTAAAACTGGATCTCTTGGCCACGATCAGTTTGAACGATGCAGCTCTTTCAGATCCGTTTGTTGCCTTCTCCCAAAAACCACAAAGGAAGCAGAGGTAAAGCTAGACGGACATGTTCTTGCCGTGTTCTCTTTCAGCACGTAGTTAAATCTGACCATGTGAAGTTAACTTTCTTGGAAGATCTGTTGCAACCATTATCTTGTTCTTTCTTTATCATGCATTCAAAATACAATGCAAAATGGAAAAAAAAGACATTTAATGTAGTATGTAAATATTGACCTTTTAAAATTAAAATGTTACTCAAAGTGCTTACAGTCAACCACATCTTAGCTATTTGTTAGTTTTTTGTGTTGTCTTATCTAAGTTTAATGGATACAGTTCCATAAATGTTGATGTGTTTTTGTGTATATCTTCAAATTTTTATAAAGATGCTAGTAAGTCAATACATATATCCTGATCTGTGTATTATTTGTTCACAGTTTTTATTAGCATAATTTTATAATGATTTAAATAGGCAGCTCCGATAGGTGATTATATGGAGCCGACTTTTTTTTTATTACCTTGTTTTCATCTTGTGGCACTTTATAACTAATCATATTTTGCCTTGACTAAAAGATTGGGTTGGCCGTATGATCTGTGGTATTTTAGTAGAATGTTTTACCTTTTTTTTTAATTAAAAAAAAATAAGCTCTGTGCTGTAACTTTTGAGGGGAAATACAGTGCACTGTCAGACCAAAGCACGGGGCTTCTAGGTTTGTTCTGTTGTGCTGCAGAAGTACAAATCAGGTCTGTCGTGTAAGATTGTTCTCAAAAGTTTGGGATATTTTGGTTTTACACATGATTCAAGTTGGTCATGTAACCCGTCGGTTCATCACCATGTTCGCAACTGATGTGGCACGTATGCTGTGTGATGGAACGATGTGCAGTGTGTGGAAGGCTCGGTGTCGGTGGTGCTAGGCAGGAGGAGGATGGGCCTGTAGCATCTTCACAGCTGCAGGAGGAGCTGCCACGCACGGGTTGATCTCCAAGTAGTGGTAAACAATAAATATGGACAGGGAGATTGCTCTTGGTCCACATACATCTCCAATATGACTTCGGGAAAGAAGAGTAAATATTGGCACCCCCTCTGTAAAGTACCTTCAGATACCTAGTTTATTCCCCAGTCTAATTCTGAAGATTCGCTTCAGTTTTCCGAATTTCTGTAAAGAAAGTCATAGCCATTAAAACGCCAAGCAGGCTGACAGTGTAGTTCTTTGCTGTTAGGTTTCCACTGTAAGGATTTAGAGGAGGCATTTTTCACAAAACTGTAGGCTATTTCGGAATAATCGTGAGGGGCTTCCATCGTTTTTTTCTTAGCTTCAGCTGCTTGGAATACGAGAAAACCCTTTACTTGGTGCTGGTTATTTTTTTATATACATTTTTTAGATGTAGTAGCTTTTAGCTGCTGAGCTTGGTCGGCTCAGACCTGCCCTCCCCGTCTGGAAGAAATACTAAGGACTTGCCAACACACATAGCAAGCTTTTTGGAGTCAGCTGGGGTTTTCCTTCTCCCTTTTTGACAGCACCTATGAAACCCGTTATTCACTTGGTTCAGCAATTGCTATGCTTTGCTTGCTTGTTATTCAGAGACATTGCTTCTAAAGAATGAGTTGTGCTAAGCTCCCACTGATTTCAGCACAAGCCAAGGACAGTGACTGCCACGGCTTATCCGGGCAAAATATCTCCCAGCTAAGGCAGTGACTGCAGATCCTGGCAGATCCTTGGCTTCCCTTGCTTGTTTCTTCTGAGATATCTGTGGTTTTGTACCTTTTAATCTCTTATCCCACAGGTTTTACTTTTACTTTTGTTCCTGCTTTTTTTTTTTTTTCTTCGTGCAGGGGGTGGGGGGGGGTTTTGTTTTTTGCCTTAACTCAAGAGATGCCCTGGATTTGTTCTCTGGCGTAGCACTGTGCTGTTCTTGTCCTTCGCGTAGTACCGTGTGTCTTATGTGAGTGGTGATACTCAAAGGTACAAACCTGGCTTCGCCTGTTCACTGTCAAAAAGCCTTTTTTGTTCAGAGACACACAAACTTTTTTTGGGGGTGGGGGGGGGTTTTGTTTTTTGCCTTAACTCAAGAGATGCCCTGGATTTGTTCTCTGGCGTAGCACTGTGCTGTTCTTGTCCTTCGCGTAGTACCGTGTGTCTTATGTGAGTGGTGATACTCAAAGGTACAAACCTGGCTTCGCCTGTTCACTGTCAAAAAGCCTTTTTTGTTCAGAGACACACAAACTTTTTTTTAAATTATTTTTTTGTGCTTTTTTATTATTTTTAGCAGCATGTTGGGTGAGAAATTAAATGTGAAGGAAAGCAATACTGAACAGATTGCAGAAATTTAGCTGTATTACAAAGGTCGTTTAGGGTAACACAGGGCTTTTATTTCAGTGTTGCCTTAAATCATGCCTTAACCACTAATTCATTTATAAACATAATACTTGAAAGTATTTTATCTTCAATTAGTATCAAATCCTAAGGATTTTATGTAAGGTTTTTTTGTAACCTGATTTTTAATCATGGAGATGGACTTCTTATCCACATGAGTACAGGGTCTTGTGTACAAAAACACGGATTCATATTGGATCCTTACGTATACCATCTTCTGGTATAATATGGTTGGGAAGGATCATTTTGTTCTTTGTAATGCTGCTTTTTGCAGGGTTGGGTTTTTTTATTTAAAAAAACACCTCTGTTTTCTACTTCTCTGCTTATTGTGGTGGAAAGTATGGTCCTTACTGCACTAAAGAAAACCTCAAGGGGCAAGTTAATCTCACTGGGTCTTTTAGGTGCCTGTGTTGCTTTCTCACTCCTTGGTTGGATGCACTGATTCTTCTAACTAACTGGAAAGGGGCTTTATATACACACAGTTTTTGAACACATTACATTGCTTTTATTTAATGTAACAGCACTCAGGTTTAGCAATCTTTGCCATTTAAATAATTTTAAACGGTATAACAGATTAAGAATATTTTTGTAAAAGAACCTGTGTACAGTTAAATGT